ATAAGTATTTAAACCGTTGATTACGCTAAGCCTAAGCACTCTCATAAGTTCTCACACAGGTCACTACCAGTCGTCGAAAACGCGGACGTGGTGCCTCTCGTGCAGTACCTCGACAGCGACTCGTCGGCTCGAGCGCGACTCTCCCGTGCCGCGAGCGATTGTATATACCGAGCACGAGTCGTCGATGCCGAAGACTCGAGCATCGTCAACCTCTGCGACAGTGACAATGGCCTGGTGAGTTATTGGCTCAAACTAGATTATTGAGAAGACAAGATGACAGTCTTCACGAGGATACACAGACTCCCTCTAGCAGGCTGTGAAAGCGCAAAAAGAATATCAGGTGGCTGGATGGCATAGACAGATATTTAAGAATATCATACACGATTTGCTTGATTTGGCCTTGAAAGAAAGAGCCATGCAGCTCATAATGCCATGTAATCTCGTTTGATCAGGACTCATCTAGTATAGGTGAGGAGGAAGAGAAAGTGTTTTTTTAATGAATATCCTGAGGAAAGAGGCTCCTACGATAATTTTAAAAAATCCGAATATCGCTGACTGCGCGAATGCCTCCTTTTGAATTTAACCGTAGTCCAAAGCACATCCATGAGATTTCGTTGGAGTTCAAGAGTGACTCCCTACATAGTTCTTTTAGTTGGGACTTTCGAGAATGATGGGCAAATTTGCATATTTCAAAAACCTCCATGCCAAGAGACGTGTCGCATAAATGCAGGTTTAAAATTGAAAATGGTGAAACACCTTTTGCGAAACATGTCGATTTCGGCTGGAAGTGTATCTAAATAATTATATTAGATCGCGCTACATCTCAAGTGCTAATTTCCAAGTAATTTCAATGTAGCTCCAATTTTGCGTTCGTTAGCGTACATTGACATTTTTGCGTATTCAGTGTGCAGCTGCTACTCTATACATTTCGCGTTATATCTGGGTGTTGAAAAAAAATCGAAAACCCAGAACGATAGAGCCTTCTTTCAAGACAACCTTGAAAAGAAAGTCTCCACTTT